ATGCCTGAACATTAGCCAAGACATACTTCTAAGTATATACACCTGAATAACAGACATTTTCTTAAATAACTATATTCTCAAAAATAGGCTTTTTAACCTTGAAGAGCTGAGTGAACAAAAGAAAAAACCAAAAATATATTGTATTTTTAGTCTTTGAAAAATCCAGTCCAATCACAAGGGCTAAATTATAATTAACAATACTATTTTAATAAGGAATTTTACTGTATACAGCTCAAAATTCCACTTAATTCTTAGTGCTGATTTAAATGGGGAAACAGAATTTGAAATTACTCTATTTAAAAGAATGTTTTACTTTTTATCACAAGATGAGCCTCTTTGTGCCAAGTGTTAAGTGCCTCTTTGTGTTAAGTGTTCTGCAGATGTTCCCATTTGACCCTCAGCACCACCCTGAGAGGTCAGACTCTTTATCTGAGGATAACAGCAGCAAGGATGGGAAAGGTTACAAACTTATGTGTGATCACCTAGCTGGGATTCACACTCAGATTCTCTTTTGCCTGCTTAAAACTCCACCAAGGCATCCCCTGCATCCAGAATTAATCCAAGCCTTCTGCTGTGGTCTGCAGGGCTCTGCATGATCTGATTTGTGAGCTTCTTTTGACCTCCCTGCTCATGAGTCCTGGCTGTTCTAGGCCTATGCTGCTTCTCCCACCACTTCCCACCTGCTGGCTCCCCTCAGTTTCCAGCTTAAATATCACCTTTTTAGGTAGGTCTTCCAGGACCACCTTTTCTAAAGTAGACCAAGAGCCTCCCTGCACCCTCGATCATTCTCCTTCACAACACCCTGTTCTTTTTCTTCTTACTTTTTTGTTTAGTAACCCATTTCTTTGGCTCTCTGCCAGTGTGTAAGACCCATGAGGGCAGGAATTATGTCTCTTTTGTTCATTACCGTGATCTACATCTACATCAGTGCTGGACACAAGATAGTTTAGACTAGGATGTTGGTAGGATAGTTGAAGGTGTCAACCTAAATAACAGACTCTCTAAAAGAAAATCTCTATTTGAGAATAGAACACTGCAATGGGAATACATATGTCACAGTAAACTATGTGTATATTCAAGGAGGTAAAGAAAGACAAGGGTTTTTAAAGGGAAAAATTAGCATTACATAACTGTTTTGAAATAATTATCCTTGGCTACAAAGATCAATAATAAAGGTGATGCCAGTATGAGGCTGGAGTTGCAAGGGCAGAAGTCTTTGCCAAAATCTTTTTTGTGTAAGTTTGTAATGGCCTTTGTGCAAGGTTGTGCTTTTAGAGAGTCTTTTTTTGTTATCAGGCACACAAGCAGGAGAATCGTCTTTTCATGGTCTTCCCTGGCTGTCAGTCAGGGTTTTCTTAACATTAGTGACTCCATTTTGATTCTGACAACTTTCACAAAGGTAAAATTGAGTAGATATGGTGATAAATTTGATGTGGAAGATTAGGAAAGGAGTAGAAACAAATCTCTCTGTGCTTCTGGTTTAAGCAACTGAAGAACAATTTTGCTAATGGCCCAGGGAACACAGAAGCAGAAATCACACACACACACACACACACACTCTCACGAAGAATACAAAATAGATGTGATCTTTACCCAGAAAGCATCCTGATCCTTTCCAATCTCATCACCTTCCTTAAAAGACCACAAAGAACCTTCATTTTCCTGTGTACCATAAAAAGATTTTTTTTAGGCCAGGCATGGTGGCTCTCACCTGTAATCCCAGCACTCCGGGAGGCTGAGATGGGCGGATCTTTTGAGCAGGAGTTCAAGACCAGCCTCAGCAAAAGTGAGACCCTGTTTCCACTAAAAATAGAAAGAAATTAATTGGCCAACTAAAAATATATAGAAAAAATTAGCTGGGCATGATGGCACATGCCTGTAGTCCCAGCTACTCAGGAGGCTGAGCCAGAAGGATTGCTTAAGCTCAGGAGTTTGAGGTTGCTGTGAGTTAGGCTGATGCCACGGCACCCTAACCCAGGCAACAGAGTGAGACTCTGTCTAAAAAAGATGTTTTTTTTAAAAAAATTTATTTCAAAGAAATGCATTTCAAGTTTTAAAAATAAAACAAAAGAAATAAAGTTTTATATTGTTTTCCTGAATAGAAACTTTAGTTTGCTCATATAATAGGTCTAAGTAAGATAATACCTTTTAAAAAAACTCTATCCAAGGTTCTTTAACATGGTCTTTGACAAATACAATACAAACTAGTACAAGTAGCAAACATCATTTGAATAAACGATCATACAAAATAAACAAATTTAAACTCTGTAATGATGTCTATAAAATAGAAATAAAAACTTTGAATAAACCATTTTAGAATGAGAGCTTATGAAATAAAGTTAAATAGAAAGTGTTTTGGAGGCATCACACTACCTGACTTTAAAATGTAGCCCTTAGTTAAATATATTCCTAGGTGCTTTATTTTCTTTGTTGCTATTGTGAAGGATAATGAAAGTCTTTGATTCAGTTCTCAGTTTGACTGTTATTGTTGTATATGAATGCCTCTGATGTGTGTGTGTATTGATTTTATATCCTGAGACTGTACTGAATTTATTTATCAATTCCAGGAGTTTCTTGGTTGAATCCTTGGGGTTTTCTAGATATAATATCATATCACCAGCAAAGGGTGAGAGTTTGATCTCTTATGTCCCCATTTGGATGCCCTTAATTCCACTCTCTTGTCTAATTGCTCTAGCAAAGACTTCCAGCACTATGTTAAATAGAAGTGGAGATAGTGGGCAACCTTGTCTGGTTCCCCTGTTCTAAATGGGAATGCTTTCAATTTTTCCCCATTCAGTGTGATGCTGGCTGTTTGTCATATATGGCTTATATCATTTTTAGGTAAGTCCCATCTATGCCTATTTTGTTAAGCGTCCTTATCATAAAAGGGTGTTGAATTTTGTCAAATGCTTTTTCTGAGTCTATTGAGAGAATCATATGGTCTTTGTTTTTGGTTCTATTTATGTGGTGAATTACATTTATAGATTTGCGTATGTTGAACCATCCCTGCATCTCTGGGATGAAGCCCATTTGGTTATGATAGATTATTTTCTTGATAAGTACCTGGATTTGGTTTGCTAGGATTTTGTTGAGAATTTTTGCATCTATTTTTTGTAATGAATATTAAAATAGATTTATAATTTAAAAAGTTAAAATAGTGGAGTACTGTTGCTAGAAGCAGATCATTCAAGAGAACAGAATGAAAAACGAGAAACAGACAAAAATACTGAAGAATTTAAGCTAAAGTCGGATTTTAAGCTAATGAAGAAAATGGGTTTTTTTATTACAAGTAAATAGCCATTAAATAAAAAAATTCTGAAATGTTATACCATGTAAAAATAAAATAAAAGCAAAAATTAAAGAAAAGATAATCCTATAGCTGGGCCAAAGGGAAGGGAAGGAGGCAACCAGAAAAGTGTGCTCATTTCTTCTGAAGAATGTGTATTGGTTTTTCCACAGAAGTTTCTACTTGATGACACATGTTGCCACACTATCCGAAATCATGAAAACAATGTTGGGCTGTTGCATCCATTAAATTCCCATGGAGGCCAGCTGGGGCCCAGATGGATGTGGAAGGGGAATAAACTGCTGAATAAAGAGATTTAGAGAGAGTTTCTTTTTATTCTTTTTTTACTCTCAAAGTTTATTATTTTTTGTTTAACACTAGTTAATCCAAGTTATTTTTCCTTCTTTTTCTATTTTTTTCAGAGTGGAAATAACAAAATTTTGCATGTCTTTCTTTTTTTCTGCCAAGGTTGATGCTTCACCACAGTAATTTCTATCCATTCATATTTTAAGCATTTTGATTTTAGAAAAGGATCATTCATAGAAAATCACTTTGAACACTATACAGGACTGATGGCAATCAGCTATTTCATGACATCAGACATTATAATCAGTATCTGCCAATGGCCAGTGTGCACAGACACGCACTTCGTGGTGTGTCTCCAGTGAAGGTGCCTTGTGTTGGTTCACTCCCCTTGAACGTAGGAATTGTAAGTCTCCTGAGTCTGTGTCCATAATCATAGTAATCAGCATTATTTTGGGCTGGGGAGCTATAGCTGTTATCATAGGTATCATAACGCTTCATCATAAGTACTACATCCATCATCATAGTCATGCTGTTCATATTTCTCTTCTGTTGGGGCTTGGGGTGGAGGTCTGGACCCAGTTCAGGGGACTCCTCTTGCTCTAGAAGTGGGAAGTCCTTTACCCCGACTCACTGGCCCAGGGGTGGAAAGGATTCTCCTAGGAGTCGAAATCCCTCTTGGTACAGCAACTCCAACAGGCTGGGCTGTGACTGCTGCCCATTCCCTGGTTAGTCTGGGGTTGGTAGACCTCTTGTATATGAGGTGCTTTTCCCTGGAACTGTTACAGCATCTGCATTTTCTGAACCACCTTTCCAATATGTTAATTCCTGGAGCTGTAGATGCCCCATCTCGTCATTACAGACAGGGATGAGGAACTTTCTGATTTCTCTCTAAACATGCCCCAACCAGGCATAAGCCTCTGGAGGATGCACAAACACTTCAATGAGAGGAAGATCATCCTGGAGGTGGACATACTTTGCTTCTCCACTTCCCCTCAATCATTCTGCCTTTGCCTTTCTCTCGTGGAAATTCTTCCAAGGATGGACGTTCTGTCGAGTTTTCTTCTAGTAAAGGCTTCACAGACTTCCCTCGTGGACCCAAAAGTTTCTGCACAAACGAACTTAGGGACCTGCTTTACAGGAGTTAACGCGTGCTGTCCCCGTTTCACGTTCTTGTTCATCACCCCACCGCCTACCAGCGTCTCCTTTCTGACACCAGCGACAGGGCGGCTTCACGGCCGGCTGCAGGCAGGCTCCTCAGCGGCCAGGCGGCGCGGGCGCTCCGCGTGGTCGCCGGCCGGGCACAGGCGGGAGGAGCCCGGCCGCGGTGGCCCGGCAGCCCCGGCGCGGCCCCCGGGCAGATGCTGCAGCGGCGGCCCGGCCGGGCGGTCAGGAAGCGGGAACCGGCCCTCAGCGCGGCCTGGCGCGGCGGAGCGCCCAGCACCGGCGCCCCCTGCGCGATGGAGGCGGGGCGAGGAGGAGCTGGCCCGGCCGGAGCGCCAAGCCAGGCCGCCAGCCCGCAGGCCGGGCGGGCATCGTGCTAGGGGACCCCCAAGCAGCCCCAGGGGAGCCGGGAACCCGTGCAGGCGCCCAAGCTGCGCTGCCTGAGGCGCATCCACCCGGCGGTGGGCGTAGAGATCCCGACTCCTCAGCTAGCGCGAGAGTAGCATGGTTGGCCGTTTTTTGTCGTTGCCATCCGTGAGCATGCGCAGTGGTGCTTAGCGGCTTGGCCTGGCGCCCCCTGGCGGTTAACTTGGTGTGGGAGACTGAAAGCTGCAGTGTTTCTTTTGGAGCTTGTGGCCAGACTGGGATTTCTTGCCTGGATTGGGCTGGGAGGCGGGCAAAAGCCGGGGTAGGGGGAGCGGAGTAGCTGAGGTGTCCAGAGCCCACAGCCAGCACCATGAAGAAGTTCTTTGCCTTCGGGAGGAAGGAGGGCAAGGGCGAGTCGTCCTCCTTTGACAGCACGTGGAAGACCCTGGTGGGCACCACGGATGATGAGATTCCTCGCAAGGCCTACATGAAGACCTGGTACAAGATCCACCCGGCAGACCTCAAGCCGATCCACAGGGCTGTCTGCCGTGGTGATGTGGAGACACTGGAGCGTATCTTTTTGGAGGAACCTCATATCCTGAATGATAAAGATTTTAAGCGCAGGTAATAGGAGCTGCCGGCTGGGCGGGGGCCCGGAGCTGGGGGCCGGGAGGGTGTAGGGGAAACACTCTTTCCTGGACTGGGCCTCACGCCCTCCTGTCCTCGAGGGGCCTGGGCTCTCCTCCTTCCACAGGCCCGCAGTATTTGTAGGGGACCCCGCCCAGGCCATCGGTATGAGCAGCAACACAAAAGCAAAACATTTGCTGGTTTCCAGTGCACTCTTTATTTCCCCTTTAGAGCTCTTTAACAACAGTTTTCAAGTGATTTAAGGAACAAAATTAAGTATATATAGTGTTTTTTTCTTTTATTTTAGTAAATTATGGGGGTACAAGTGTTAAGGTTACGTATATTGCCCATGCCTCCCTGCCCCCTCGAACACCCATCCCCTCCTCCCCCCTCCCTGACACCTGATAAATGTTATTCCTATATGTCCACTTAAGTGTTCATCTGTTAATACCAATTTTCTGGTGAGTACATGTGGTGCTTGTTTATCCGTCTAGTATTTCATACTAGCTACTTCACTTAGTAGGATGGGTTCCAGCTCTATCCAGGAATTTACAAGAGGTGCTATATCACAATTATTAGTGTTTTATTTTTAATGTACACTTTTTTTTTTGAGACAGAATCTCCCTCAGTTTCCCCGGCTACAGTGCCGTGGGGTCAGCCTAGCTCCCAGCAACCTCAAACCTCTGGGCTCAAGCAATCCTATTGCCTCAGCCTCCTGAGTAGCTGGGACTATAGGCATGTGCCACCATGCCTGGCTAATATATATATAGATATATATATATATATAGATATATATATATAGTTGTCCAGCTAATTTATTTCTATTTTTTTAGTAGAGACAAGGTCTCGCTCTTGCTCAGGCTAGTCTCAAACTCCTCAGCTCAAGCAATCCTCCCGCCTCGGCCTTCCGGAATGCTAGGATTACAGGCATGAGCCACCACGCTCGGCCTAATGTGCACATTTTATAACATTTAAGTACATTATAGAAAGGTGCTTAAGGAGAGAAATAATTGCCATACTATATTGACTTCTGGGAAAATAAAATTCTACATAAGCCAAACAAAAATATGAAGATTTTAAAATTTTTGAGTGACACATGCTGTCTGCTTTTTACTATTTTGATGATGTTAAGAAATTTGGGGATACAGTGAGCAAAGCCTTACCCTTCTGGATATGAAATGATGGTATTTCCATAGCTTGATTGTTTACTAACAGTTGAAGAGACAAATGAATGAAAGAGAATAGAAAATCCAGAAACACCAAAAAATATATGTGAGAATTTACAACTTGATAATGGTGACATTTTATATTAGAAGAGAAAGGTGAATTATTGGTAAATGAATTGCCTGTTACCTTTTTGGAGACACCTAGCTAGATTTTTATATCACAAAAATAAGTTCCTGATGGAATAGAAATCACAAATTTTAAAAATAGGAAATGAGAAAAGTACCAGAAGAAAACACAAATGCCTATTTATACAGAGACATTTTTATGTTGACAAAGACCTTCCTGAGAATGATCTCACAAGCAAGCATTGATTGTGAAGCTTGATTTAGCGGGAAAAAAAATGTAAACCCTCTATATATCAGAAAGAAATTAACAAAATAAAAGACAACATATTAGCCACACACACACACAAACATGCATATATCAGCTGAAAAATGTGTGTTAATTTTACATAGAACTCTTTCAAATCAACAAGAAATAACCTGAACTGTAATTTAAAATTGAGAAAAATACTTTTTTGTAGATCTGCAAGTGACCTGTGCATATAGGATAAAATATTTAGTGTTACTTGTAAGAGAAGGCATTTGATTTATCCACAAAGTGTGTCATTCCATTTTACAAAAATATCCTTAGGAAATAATGAGAGATAGATGCAATTTGTTTTTCTTGCCAATGTTTAAAATAGCAATTTATTAAGAAGAATCTATATAATGGATTTTATATATAAGTTCCAGCGCATCCAAGAGTAGACTAATATAGGACCATTAAATGTGGGCATAGATACAGATGCATGTTGACATGTGAGAAGTATTTGGCATATCGATTGATTGACGAAAAAATATCAGTTTGATTATTAAAATATCAGTGCACACAATCACCCTATGGTCTTGTCCTCATCAAAAGTACTTAAAATTGTGATACAATTTGTTATTTCTGGGCATTTGTATTATAAGAGAAATTTTTTCCTTTTTCTGTGATTTCTGCAATGAGCATGTATAAAAATTCTAGTGAAAGTTTATTATTAATGAAATGGTCCCTGGGAAGAGAAGAAATATGAATCTTGCACAGATAGAAATAATTTCTCACTTCCTATAATTTATTATTTTTTTGTATGTGGATTGGAATCTTCTGCCAACTTTTAGTCCCTTTGGAGGTAAAGGGAATCTTTTCATGTGTGCTTGTAAATTTTATTATGTGTACATTTTATCATAGACATGTTTTTGTTATATATAGATTTATTACATATATATCAACTATTATATAAGAATAATTTTATTTTAGTTGTACTCTTTGAAAAAAATGATCCATACCCATTTATTTGAAACCTGAGTCTGCTTTGTGTTGAAGTTTTTGAAAATCAAGGGAAGAACTATTAATACTTGTTTTAAAAACATTTCATTGTTCTTTCAGCCTTCTTTTTCCATAATACTGTTAAGAAGTGAAATTTATTTAAATGTCAATCATGTGACTAGAACTGCCATAGGCCTGTTGTATATACCGTATTTTACTTAATATGAGGCACCATGGATTGTGTGATAACCCATTATTTTATTTATTAATAAGAGAACATTTAAAATGCTACCCAATATGTTTGAAATAAATCATGAATGACAAGTGGCATTCCAATGTCAGAAATTTGAAAATGTAAGAAAATGAGTATCTTAGAATCCTTGAACTACGGTGTTGGCTCTAAATTTTAAAACCAACCACAAGGCAGGTATAGTTGTATCATTTACTGAATTTTCGTGTTGTCTTTGATATAGTAATAGAAATAATGATAATATCTAACAATCACTGAGCTCTATTTGCACTAGGAACTGCTCTAAATACTTTACGTAGATTCTCATTTAAGCATCACCGTGGTGTCCTGTGTGATAGCTGCTATGTTCCTCCCCATGTTATTGATGAGGAAATTGAGCTATAGAAAGGCTAGTAAGTGACAACCTTAAAGTAGGATTCAAACCCAACTTGCCCTGAATCATTGAATTGCTCGTTGTGTACAAATAGGCTGCTTTTTCATTAACTAGTGAGGAATAAGAGCTAATAAGCGTTGCACTTTCTTCACAAGAAGATCAAATATTTGTTTTGAAGGCAGAAGTATCACATGCGATTTACTGTTTACAATTATGTGAATCATTGTATGTTTTGAGATAGTGCACTACAATTTCCTAACAAGTCCTCTCACTTCTGTAGGACTGCTCTACATTTGGCCTCTGCCAATGGCCATGCAGAAGTGGTAAGACTCCTGGTAAACAGAAAGTGCCAACTCAACAGGCATGACAACAAAAAGAGGACAGCTCTGATAAAGGTATGTGGCAGCCAGCTCTTTCAGCATGTGATGGGTTGGATTTAAATACATATAATAAACATGAATGTAGCTTCTTTACATATGACTCAATTGGTCAAATTGAGTGGAAAGTCAATTTCAACTTCCTGCGGAAAGTTTATTTTGAATTCCTAGAATTTGCTGTCTGTTTCTTGGTCTCATTACTGACAGGCCGTCCAATGCCAGGAGGAGGAATGTGTGACTGTTCTGCTGAAAGGTGGTGCCGATCCAAACTTTCAAGATCTCTATGGCAACACTGCTCTTCACTATGCCACCTATCACCAGGACGTATCAATAGCAGAAAAACTCCTTTCACACGGTGCATATATTGACCCCAAAAACAAGGTATAGATCAACTTTATTTCCAAAATATTTGAGATGCATTTGTCTTAACATTGACATATGTAACTGTCAATTTTCCAAATGTGGGATCTAAAGCACTCCCTGAATGAACATATTTTAAAATAACTTAATTGTCTAAGATTTTACTTTAAATATTGATACTTTTAAAGAAGCATTAGGGGGTATGGCTTTCCTTTATGCACTTATGGTTAATATTTGTGACAACACATAATTTGTTAAAGGTAAAACTTGTTTATTTAAGAGTTGTTTTTTTTCCAACCCAAGTGCTTTTTTCTAATTAGTGTGAAACTACACAGGAAAGCCAAATTTGCCCTAACAATAGGCTTTGTCTTAAAACTCAAACAAAACTAAAGAATTTTATGATAAATGGAAGTCTGGCTGCTATTGACGAATTCCTTAAAAAAGTGATTGGTATGAAAGTGATTTCTCTCTCAGTGGCAAGGGTTAAGGGGAACAAATGGGAAGGGAAAAGGGGACCAGTCATAAACATGAAGGCCTGTTTGGAAGTCAGGTAATTGAGGGAAAACACCAAGAAGACTTTGTGTGTGTGTGTGTGTGTGTGTGCATTTGCTTTCAGTATATATGCTTACACCAGGTAACTTTTGGTTTTGAGAATAATAACTCTGTTTTTGGGAAAGAGAGTTAGTGAGTTGTAAACTTGCCTAGAGATCAGTTTCAGGAGGTCACTAAGGAAGCCATATTGGCAGTGAATAGGTGTTGATGAAGGGGGGAAGCCTTCAGAAGAGGGAAGTATGAATAATTAGCTGAGTCATTGTCCTATTCTTGCAGAAACAGCCACTTAGATAAGTGGCTACTGGAATGTCTTGATGGGGAGGCGGGAGATAAGGAGCTTATAAGTGGCAAAATCCAGTTGCATTTTGAGTTTATTAGTCCCTACTCTACCTGCATGCAGGAGTGCTCTCTCTTACTCTTTCCACTTTTTGGCCAAATCCCCAAATGGTAATTGGAATTGCCCATTTGAGTGAGAAATGGCACTGAAGTGGTTGTCTGCTGCAATAGTTCTCAGCTAGAATTGTGCATCACAGTGACTTGTGGAAATTCAAAAAAAATCTCAGGTCTAGGTTCTCTTGTGACGATTTTTATTTAGTAAAACTAATAAGGCCTGGACATGTATATTTAAAAATATTTCCTCAAAGCCAGGCACAGTGGCATGTCTCTATACTCCCAGCCACATGGGAGGCTGAGGTGGGAGGATCACGTGAGCCCAGGAGTTCAAGTTCAGCATGGGCTACATTGTGAGACCCTCTCTCTAACCAGGAAGGAATTGTTTTTTCCTCAAGATTCGGATACAATTTTGGTTTAAAATAACTGAATATATAAATGTAAAGTTTAAATTCTCATATTTCAAAACCTAAGAAATCTCTAGAAGAGTTGGAGTTGATAGGTGCTACTTCCTTCAAATCTCTCCTTTCCACTAATATTATATTAGACTGACATTTATCTTTCTTTACTGACATCTTCTGTGGCTTGGAAGTTAAAAGGAATATTATTATCAATATTATCAGCTTATAGAATTACACCTTTTTCCTTCCAACCATCAATCATTAACTGCTATCCAGAGGGTCTTTAGAAATTTCCTTAGGGGCAATCTTTCAGTAATTCTTTCAGGATTTTGAATCTCTTTGCTGTCATTCAGGTGATTAGGTCCACAAATGTTTACTGCCAGCAGGATTTTCTCAATGAGCATAGTAGCAAATTCTGAAACTTTTTTTCAGTTGAGGCTGGATTATGGACTGAGTATGTCTGTTACATTACTACGGCGTGGATATAATCAGGATGGCAATTTTAAATACTAACAACCATAAAGTTTGTTAGAATACAGATAGGAATTCTTTTAATATCGTGGTTCATAAGTCCTATGAACTAATTAACTGTTTGCGTAACAATCTGGGAAAATAAAATACCAATAGATTGTAAATGAATAGTTTAAAAAATTCTTGAAATGAGTCATATGGGTCTTAGTAGCAATTTTTATTACATGTTGGGCCTGATATTTTGGTAAAACCCATGATGGTAAAGAAAGGAAACCTTTTACCTACAAATACTTGCGTTATGCACAACTGTTTGGAAACGTCCACAGCAAATAGTAAAAACACAAGGGCTGTAGTCTAAATGTGGCCTGTAGGCAGGTTGAGTTTTCCTCCATAAATGGAGTTAACATGTAAAATTTAAGGGGACTTGCAGAAACCTGGATTTCAGACTTCTCTTAATGAATCAAATCTGGTGTCCCTGGTGCCCATGTTTCCATGTGGTAAGCTGTATAGAGGCTGCCCCTTGGGGGGGGTGTATGTTCTCCAGTCTGCTCCTGTGCCCCCAGGTACTTCTCTTTCTCAGGTCACCTGCTTTGCCTCCGTAAGTATTTGAGTGTATAAGTCCTGTGTTATAGTACATTTTGATAAAGATGTCAAAGTTTTCATGAGAATTTATACTTGTTCATACCATATAGTGTACAGTATTAATATTACATATTAATTCCTTAGTAATGGGGTTGAATGTTAGAATTCAGAAGTTTTCTTAAAAAACTCTTTTCTTTATGTATGTCACAAATATTCACCCTCCCATTAGAATGCCTCTAAGCCTTTTTAGGTTAAGTGTGGTTATAGCTGGATAGGTTACGCATGTTGCAGACCACATCATATCTTTCTCCCGAGCATCGTGACATCAAAGTGCGGGTGATTTAGGGGCTCTCATTATGCTAGAAATAATCCATATAGGTCAGTATTAGAACTTCAGTTAATAAGCCATTGTATTTATATTTCTGATTTATAATTTTCCTAAGATAAAAAATATTTTTACATAGCAATTTAAATGGCACCCAGAATAAAAATGGATTAAAATAAAGTAGATAATACATTAGGGTCCCAGTATTATCGTTATAGTTGAGAATAAAATTTCAGACTGAACTAAGATAAAAATCTATCATCTTGTCACAGGAGGAGCTGCATGGACCATTTCATAGTAAGGAATCCAAGTTGCTTTGAAGCCTATCTCTTTAATTCATAGGCTAGTTCTTTAGTGACCCATTTGGAGCAGGAGTGCCTGCTGTTGGCACCTGGGTTCCTCACACCACTGAGGGAGGAGAATCAAGCGAGTTTGTGTCACCTGGAGGAAACCTCCACCTTTACTGAAAAGCTCTCAGAAGTATCCCTGAGGGTCTAATTCCTCACATGTTAATGTTCCACAGGAAATTATTGCCAAATAGGGATTGGGCAAAATTCAAGAGATTTCTTTGGCACTGGTCATAATGCACAGTTTTGTAATATTTCTTTAAAGTAGACGGCCACGGAATCTTTCTGTTGGGGTACAGTCCTTAACTTCTGGTAAAGGTTGCTATTCTTTGGAGTGTCGTTTAAGAAACACTCTTGTGGAGATAACAACTTAGATCCTTAATTCAATAAAAATACTCAAAGCATTTACTACTATGTCTTAGGGTTCGGGGATGTGGAAATAAAGGATACAGCCCCTGCCCTCAAGAAGCTCTTGGTGTAGATGGGAAACAATAACATAATGGCAGTGTACTGTGATAAATGCTGCGATAGAAACAAAGATCCTTGCAGCCCATGAATGTTCTAAGTGACTGTGGAGATGGCAGGAGTTAATGTGGAGAGGCAGAGGAGGGGTGTTTCCAAGGGAGGGAGCAGCACATGGAAGGCACAGAGGGGTGAGCAGGAAAGGAATACCTTTGCTTTCCTTTCTGTACTGTACGTTTAGGTTCATGGGATCTCATATACGGTTTTCATTTCAATTGAGAAATATGTAATTTTGTGAATGATAAATTGTTTTGCTGCCTTACAGAGTCACCTCACACCACTTTTACTTGCTGTAAGTGAAAACAAAGAGGAAATGGTAGACTTTTTAGTAAGGAATGGAGCAAACACAAATGCAGTTGATAAGTTGAAAAGGTACAGTGGTTAGTTCTTTTTTTTAATAAATGTGAGTGTTATTCTAGAGTGGAAACAGTCACTCAAGTCAGAAATATTATAAATTAATGAAAAGATTAACTTAAAATTATTGGGATATGATTTGTGAAAAACACAAATCATCAGTTAGATAGAAAAGGAATTATTTGGTCTTGGCAATATAAAGAACAGTATACAGTAGGATTCATCTTCACTTATAATAGTGACTGATGTTTAATTATTTATAACCTGATGGTTTTGGTCATATGACATTATACTACCTGAAGGGGTTTCACATTAGTTTTCATAGTCTTCTAAAGTGTGGGCTTTAACTTGTAATTCACTTTCTGATTCAATAATTAACTTCTTAATGCTTTTGTAGTATTTCTTAAACCTCTGCTTCTTATATACTTATCCATTAAAAATGCTCTATAATAAACATAAATTGGAGTTGAAACTCATTTTGTCGTTTGGTGACTCTTTGCTTGCTTTAACTGGCTTTCTTTGGTGCATATTGATATTAGGTTGTCCCTAAAGGACTATTAATTGCTATTACCAGATAGTGTGGGTTTGTCAAGTGGTTTTTATTTTTCCATTTCTAGTGGCATTTTGATAATAGATAGATAATAGATAATCATAATAATTATTATTTATTATCAAATAAATATGATATTAAAAGAAGGATAATAATATATCCTTCCAGGGTGGTTGTACATAAGTAAGATTATATATAGAAATATATTATATATATTATTTTATGTTTATATGTAATCACTGTATTACTTTAATTCATTGCCTAGCATTTGCTTATCAGCATCACTGACTGAAACTGCTGTGACTACTGTTATTACCATTATTACTAATGTTATTGTTTTAAGCCTACTCTTTGTTACCTGACCCCTAAGTACTTTGATTACAATAACTTATATCAGACTAAGGAAGACTAATGAAGATGTGGAGAAGTCTTCATTTAATTCTTTGCCTACTTGAGATAAGTGATCTCAGCAAAGAATTAGCAACTTCCACCGTCATACCCCAGTGTGACAGATGAGAGGCTTCTATTTTGTCCCTTGCTTTTAGTCTTGGTGGTAATTTACAAAGATGAACATTGAACACCCAAGACACTTGTGTCTCTTAGTACATATAAATGGTTAATTCTACACTGACAGGCAAGATATTAAATTGGTAAAGAATAACAAGTTAGCCTTTATTAAATGTAACTTTATTAAAGCTCCAAAGGGTGAAGTTATCTGTCTGTTGTTTTAGAAATGCTCTCATGCTTGCGGCAGACTCTGAGTCATCACATATAGTCAGTCTTCTTCAGCAAAGTCGTGATGTCTCTTCTGAAGTTCTCTTGGGACAGGCTGCAGAAGATCATGCCTTTGGTAGTGGTTTTCATAGGTAAGTGTCTACATGAAAAGACTAGTTAACACTAAATTGAGGTTTAACATAATTAGAACTATTGTATCTTATACATTAGATGAGAGAGATTTCATAGTTTGATTCAGGTAATTTTGGAATGGCAGAGAGTTAGTCTACTCCATCAGCCAGAAATCAAGCAAAAGGCTAGACTAGTTAGAAATATCGATGGGTGCAGGATTCTTTATCTCATGACTTTTAAGACATTTATTCTTAGTAAGGATCCCAACATTGTCCTTTTCATTTCAAGTATAACCCCTCTTCATGGGGAGAAAAATCATGTTACATGTTTGATTTTGCTAATTTGTTATTTGGGTCTTTAAAAACTAAATCGTCTGAAATTAGAACTGCCACGCCAGCCTTCTTTTGGCTTCCACTTGCCTGGAATACTGATCTCCACCCTTTTACTTTTAGTCTATATGCATCCTTGCAGGTTAGATGTGTTTCCTGAAGACAGCATATACTTGGCCTGTATTTTCTTATCCATTCAGCCAGCTATGTCTCTTGAGTGGAGAGTTTAAGCCATTCACATTTGATGGGGGAACTGAGGGTGGGTAAGGTAGATTATTGTTCATTCTGTTGGGTTGCATGCTGTTGCTTTGATTTCTCTCTTGAGCCATTGCATTATCTGGCCTTTAATCTTTGGGGTTTGGTTGTTTTTATATTCGTGAGTTTTTATTATGGTGTTCCGTGCGTAACACTGTTTTGAGTACTTCTTGTAGGGCTGGTCTTGTCATAGTGAATTCTCTAAGACTTTGCTTGTCTGAGAATGTCTTTATTTCTCCTTCACATATGAAGCTTAGTTTTGCAGGGTATAAGATTCTAGGCTGGGTGTTGTTTTGTTTCAGAAGAATGAGAATGGGGCCCAGTCTCTCCTTGCTTGTAAAGTCTCATTAGAGAAGTCTGGGTGTTATTCGAATTGGTTTCCCTTGTATGTTACTTGGTTTCTTCTCTCTTACAGCTCTTAGAAGCCTCTTAGTTGATATTTTGGTCAGTCTGATGACTGCATGTCGTGACGTCTTCCTGTTTGCATTGAATCTCCCAAGGGTCCTCTGAGCTTCTTGAACTTGTATATCGAGATTTTGAGCAAGGCCTGGGAAATTTTCCTCTATTATATCTTCAAATAGCTTGTCCAACCCTTGAGTGTTGTCCTCTTCCTCTTCTGGTACCCTATGCCCTCACATTAGGTTTTTCACATAATCCCACATCTCTTGTAGGCTTTGCTCTTTTCTCTTGTTTCTCTGCTCTATCTCTGTGATGGTTTTATTTAGTTGGAGGGTGTTATCTTCAATCTCTGAGATTCTTTCTTCTGTTTGATCTACCCTGTTCTTGAGACTTTCCACTGTATTTTGTAGTTCCCTGAATTGATTCTTCATTTCCAGGAGTTCGGTTAAACTTTTCTTCATTGTGTCTATTTCTTTAGAACTTTTCTTCTAGGTCCTGGAGGCTTTTTGTGGTTTCTTTGTGTTGGTTAATGAGCTGTTGTTGCAGGTCGGTGAGTGTTCTTATGATCCACATGCGAAATTCCTCTTCTGTCATTTTGGTTGCCTGATTTTAGTTGGTGTTTGTTTCTAGGGGGCTGGTTCTCCTCTTTGGGGGTGTGGTTTCCGTTTGGTTCTTCATATTTCTGGAGTTCCTTTTCTGATTTCTTCCCATGTCAATCAGTTGTTGTTTCTTTTCTTTAGGTTTTTGTTTGGGTATTCACATGCCTTGTTTAGTTTCTAAGCTGGCAGGTGGTGTCTGTGGGTGAGATTCGACCACTCCCTGTATAATGAGTCAGTAGGTGCCGTGAAAAGGCTGTGCAGGATGTCCTCCCTGTCAGTAGGTGGCGCTTGCTTGGAGGAACAGGCTATGCTGTTGTTTTTGTGTCCTGTTATCAGCTCTTGTTCCTGTAGAGAGGCACTCTAGTGCCTCAGGTGGTTGGTGGGGCCCTGGGACTTCCAGGTGTATCCTTTTCTCCCCCTCAGTGAGGACTGGTCTAGGAGTGAGTCTGGGCGGAGCTGGGTTGGGCAAGCCTGCCCTCAGGCACCACCAATGTCGTTACCAGGGATCAAAGTTCTGTTCTCTGCTTCCAGGAAAAGCTGTCAGGGCAGGGCTGGAATGGCCCCGCTCAATCAGAAAATCTGTGTGTGGAGGTGGGACTGTCTGAGACCGGCAGTCTGGAGCAGGCCTCGCTTCTTTCCACCCTCCCCAACTCCGCAGCTACTCCTGGGCCTCTGCCAGCAGGCCAGACCACACGCCACCAGGCCTCCCCGGACTGTGATGCCGGCGGGGAGGTTCCCTGCACAGGAACGCCACCTGGGCTGGGCGTACGGCCTCCTTTTGGGAGGAGGGTTGCCCTCTAGGATGCTGATCTGCTCCTGACGGCACACAAACCTCAGTAGGCTGTTCACGTATAACCCTTCTGTGCCCCGGGCAATGCGAGACCTCAGTGTATGGGATCTGGTCTGCAGGTCTGACCTCTGGGTCCCAGAGTTCAAACTATATCCCCACCAGGGAGAGCAGTGCCAGTCCCAATTTGCCCACAGGGAGCCCAAGCTTGGTCTATGTCTCTCAGCCTCAGGGTCTGCACCATTCTCCTGGGATCACTGTGCCAGCAGCACCTGGGAGGGCTGGCAGGTAGGGAGCTCACAGTCTGAGTTCCCCTTAGTCAGCTGTAGGGCCCCAAAAGGGAAGGTCCCGTTCCCTGGAGGTGACTCCGGCTGGTGGCTATATTGTCTCTCTGGGCAGCCTCGGGTAGGGTCGGAGGAGAGGGGGAGGAGGCAATATGGCGCTTGCTGCGCGGCTCGAGTCTGTGCACATGGAGGTGCCGGGAGGGAGTTGGGAGCCTGGTGCCGTGTCCGCTACAGGCTTACCGCTCCCTGGTGGCGGCTGTCTCTGGGCTGGTGTCCGCAGGTCTCTCCACCCGCTGGGGAGCCCACCAGCAGTCCCAAATGCAGGGGAGGGGAAAGGTGAGTGATCCACCCACCTACCCTTCCCGCTGGTCTCCAGGCTGCTCCAGGGGTCCCAGCTTCCAGTTCTCCTCTGCAGCCTCCTCCCGTGGAGTCTCCCGGGGTCTCAGGTACCCCTCCTTCCGGCCCTCGTCTGCTGTATGCTCGTCTTCTTGCTTCTTTTTTCTAATTTCTGCTAGAATCTGTCTTTTCTGCAGAGACACTCTGTCTGGCAGTGTTTCTCGTCCACCATCTTGATCCTCCTCCCTTTTATTTGGGTCTTGAAATGTCCACTTTAATAGAAAATCTTGTACTGTTCCCTGGGGGTTATGTACTCTACCCACCTGCTTGAATTTTTCAAGAAACTAAGGGGTTCCTTAAGTGCAAGGAAGACAGTCCCTATTGCAAGTCTGAAAGAGGGGAAGGCTGGGCATGGTGGCTCTAATCTTAGCACTTTGGGAGGGTGAGGCAGGAGGATTACTTGAGGCCAGGTGTTTAAGACCAGCTTGGACAAAATAGCTAGATCCCATCTCAAAAAAAAAAAAAAATTAGCCATGATGGTGGATCATGCATGTATTCCTAGCTAGTCAGGAGACTGAGGCAGGAGGATCACTTATTCCAGGAGTTTGAAGCTGCAGTAAGTTATGATCATGCCACTGTACCCCAGCCTGGTGACAGAAGGAGATCATGTCTCTAAAAAATTTATGACATCTGAATTAAGGAAGGGAATAAAAGGACATTTCAAGTTGACCTTTGTTCACCTCTGTTGTTTCTGTCCATTCTGTTGCTGCCTTGTTGCTATTGAGACTGGTCCTGCAGTCTGGGAGGGTTGACCTTTGCTACCAGGATGCCCTCACTGATCCAGATCCCTCAGTCTTCATGGTGATACACACTTAGACTTCAGAGCTACTTTTTTTAGTTCACATTCGAATGCTTAATTGCTCAGCCATCATTCCCAAAGCACCAATGCTCTGCTCTGGCAGCCGGGCCTCGTAGCTTTAGCCACACACGTAGTGAGCAAATTGACCTTTCCCTTGCATTCAGAACCTTCTTTGGAGCCCTGATGTTAGCCTAGACTTAGCCTAGGCCTCTGAGTAGGGCCTCAAAGGTAATGGTAAGTTATCCTTTGAGGCCTTTGTTTGTCTTTTCTATACCAGGTAGCAGTTGGGATTGTTCTAAAGTGTCAGAGAGGTTCAAATAAAGTGTCAGGAAGAGATGAGAATTTCCTTACTTCTTTGCTACCACATCTGTGCCCTGAGGCCCCTGTCTACCCCATGTAGCACCTTTTCTTAGGTAGTAGAAGTTCCCATATTGTCCTTCCCCAGAGTAGTGGGCACCAACTCACAGTTGGCCTGGCAAGTGACCTGTTTATCGTAATAATGAAAACCTCCCAAGCCACTTGCATCTGTATGTCACATTTTAAAATTACTTTCAAATTCTGCCTAATAAGAAAGCCATTCAACAGAATTCTCTGAATCTAAAGTAGAATAGTTGGATTTAACAGAGCCAAGCCTCACCCATGACTCATCGGTATCCACATAGAAAAGTAGGGCTTCCTGTTTGCTTCTGCAGCACATATTCTAAAAGTGGAACCCTGCAGAGAAGATTAGCATGGTCCCTGCCCAAGGTAGACATGCAAATTGGTGAAGCATTCCGTGTTTTGTGCAGTCCCTGAAACATCATTCGCCTGTTTGCTGACTAGCTCCAAGGTAACTGTGTGTCAAGGCAAAATGGGTGACACCCAATATTATAATTGTGACTTTCCGTACAGAAATATTCCCATAAAGTGATCTATGAAATGACAGTGGAGCTCAGTAATGTGGAATGTTGTGTGCAAATATGTTGTTAGTACTTAGAAATGAGAAAATGTCAACTTGCATCACCTTTATTCAACTTAAATAAAAGTAGGGTTTTGCCTTCCACATCAGTTGGAGATGAGCATGGAGATTAAGCATCATTCTAACAAAGATCTGCTAGTTCACCGTTTGAGTAGGTAGAGGAGGAAGAGTAATAGTCCAAGCTAGGTTTTGACATCCATTAATTTTCTGCCTTTGCTGTGATTGATTAGCTCAGTAGTAGGGGAAAATTGTGTTATCTAACTTAATGAGGTAATGTTTATAAATAAATTTTGTTAAAATTATGAAATAGCTGAGATGCCCTGAATTGCAAGCCACAAAAATAGAACAACTGATAACCCAAATTAAGACTTAATAACATTTTCTGAAAACTGCAACATTTGAATATTACAACCTATGGAAAAATACAATTGGGTTTTGTTTGGGATTCCAAAATCATTTCAGCCATAAAGTTCAAGGACAAATTATTCTATTGATTCCCTATCTTTCTGAGCATTGTAAAAATGTTATCTCATTAAATGTTGTTGAAGAACCTACTGAATTAAGGCAGTACAATCTTTATTTTTAGAAGACAATGAGCCTGAGAGAAGCAACTTGTCCAAGAACAAGTAGCTGTTGCTTACAGAGCTAGGACTTCTTCTGAGTTCAGGGCACTTTGCATCATGTCAAGGGACCTCTAGTTAACTGACTGATCTATACTTCCCTCCCTTCATGAGGACTTCACCTTACTTTTCTTCTTTAATTGGAAGCTTAATAAGAAGTTTGTCAAGCTTACAAATTTGAGGTATATGGGATAATTAAAGTTCTGTTATTATAATATCTCTGTTATTGTCTGAAATACTCTTAAGAATTTAATTTATTTGGTAAATGATTTTCATGTCAGTATTAAATTGTTGTTTATTTATTATGTTGTTTATACATAGCATTCCCCAACAAACTTCAGAACATGAAGAAAACATGCTGGAGAGTCCTTCTCAAAATAGTGATCCAGGTAAGCCTTCTGACAGTGAATGACTCTTGGTGGTCCTAGGGTAGATGCAAAAGTAAGAGTAATAAAGTTTTGAGCACGAAAGAGCAGTTAAAAAAATCAGTGTGTATTTGCATGTATGTTTTTTCTTGATTTCTTTTTTAGTAGTCTAGAATTCAGAAGGAGTTTAAGAAGTTAGTTGTAGGTAATTTATAATCTCAAATGGTATTCTCTGAAAATAATTCACATATTTATTTATGTATTAATTAAATTCATTAAATTCGTGTATTTAATTATTTCTATTCCTGAAATCCTTTTTGACATTTTTGTCAAAATAAGAAAAAAGATTTTTAAGTTAGCACATTCCATGTTTCCTCTACATCACATTATAATGAATTGGATTTGTTATAAAAATGGGTCTTCTATTTAATTATTAAAATACACTTTTTTGCATTTAGTGAATATTAATTACAGTTGACTTTGAACCACATGAGGGGTAGGGGCACCGATCTTCCTTTCAGTCAAAAATCTGAGTATAACTTTTTACTTTTCAAGAATTTACTAATAGCCTCCTGTGGACTAGAAGCCTGTGATAACATAAGCAGTCAATTATAATAACATGTAGTTTGTATGTCATATATACTGTATTCTTACAATGAAGTAAGCTATTGAAAAGCAGCTGCTATGAAGAAAATCATAAGTGAGAAAAAATATATTTATTATTCATGAAGTGGAAGTGGATCATCATAAAGATCTTCATCCTTGTCTTCACATTGCCTAGGCTGGTGAAGAGGAGGAATAGGAGAGGTTGGTCCAGCTGTCTCTGGGTGACAGAGCAGAAGAAAATCTGCATATAAGTGGCCCCTGTGGCTCAAACCTCTGTTGTCAAAGGGATTACATAGTGATTTGTGTCACAAAGAAAATAACTATTCTTAAACCTGAGAACTCAAAAATACCTTTCTGATAACATAAACAAATGGTAGTAATAACTGCAAAATGTAGCCAATGTGCACGAATGCTAATAGAAGAATACTATTTTATTTATTTATTTTTGGACACAAGATCTCAGTCTGTTGTCCTGGCTAGACTGCAAAGGCAAGAGTGCAGTAGCGTCTTCACAGCTTACTGTGACCTCAAACTCCTGGGCTCAAGTGATCCTCCTGCCTCAGCCTTGTGAATAGCTGGGACTACAGGTGGATGCCACCATGCCTGGATAGTTCTTTACTTTTTTTGTAGGCACAGGGGTTTTACTATGTTGCTCAGGCTGGTCTCCAACTTCTGGCCTCAAGCAATCCTCCTGCCTCTGCCTCCCAAATTGCTAGGATTACAAGCATCATTAGCCACTGTGCCCAGCCAGTAGATTATTTTTTAAAGATACCTATTGAGTACAGATGTCAGAAAAGCAATTCCTTGTTGAGAAGCACAGATTATGTTACCCATTCTTACACCAATACAGTCTCACTGTTATTGACTTCATTCCCCTTAGGTTGAAACTGAATGAGATATATTTACTTCACTAGAACAAGATGTGTTCTCCTATCTGCTGGATAATTGTCATGATCACAGTCATCTTGTGTCCATTAGACAAAATATTTTCATAAGAAATATTCCAATAGCACAACTCTGGTCTTAACCAATTATAATAAAAGTAGAAAAATGTTTCACAGTAACAGCAATGCTACTGTGCTACCTATATAGGACACCTACTTCATAGTACAATGTGAACTGTATGAAGCCCCTTTAATTTAGTATATATTTCTCAAAGAGCTTCCATAAGTTAGGTATTGCAAGTTGCAGGAGACAAAGATGGAGGAGACATAGTTTTGATCTTTAAGGTGCTTGTAATAAAGTAGACCTGTTCCTGTTTAATTTCTGCATTTCTTCAACAGAATTGTCAAACCATTTTTCTTCATTTTATTCACTTGCCCACCTCACAAATAACTGTCAGATGTCTTTGGGGTAATAAACATTGTTCCAGTGTAACTGAACACACACATTTTAAAAATACGGTCAGAGGCCGGGCGCAGTGGCTCACGCCTGTAATCCTAGCTCTCTGGGAGGCCGAGGCGGGCGGATTGCTCAAGGTCAGGAGTTCAAAACCAGCCTGAGCAAGAGCGAGACCCCGTCTCTACTATAAATAGAAATAAATTAATTGGCCAACTGATATGTATATAAAAAATTAGCCGGGCATGGTGGCGCATGCCTGTAGTCCCAGCTACTTGGGAGGCTGAGGCAGAAGGATCGCTTGAGCCCAGGAGTGTGAGGTTGCTGTGAGCTAGGCTGATGCCACGGCACTCACTCTAGCCTGGACAACAAAGCGAGACTCTGTCTCAAAAAAAAAAAAAAACAACAACAACAACAAAATACGGTCAGAGGCTTATTATGTTTACTGTTATTTTTATTATTTACTACTTTATTCAGTGCTTACCGTGTGCCAGATGCCCTCTGGGAGCTTATTGATATAATCATCATTTACTATGTACTTATTATGTTAAACATGTATCAGACACTTTAAGTCGATGGTACAGAATTAAAGCTTTAAAACAGTGAATAGGATTTAAGGTAAGCAAGGCAGAGCGAGCAGAAGTTTGCCAGGTAAAGAGGCAGAAAGTTGGTGCTTGGCAGAAGGAACATCTAAGAGGATTGCTCGTTAGGCCCAAGAACAGCAAGTGGAAAAGCTGAGATGCATGAGTCAGCTTTGCAGGATTTGTGAGCAGTTCCATTTTGCTGGTGTAAAAGGAGTGGGATGAGAGTGGTTAGGAGCGAGGGGAATACCTCGGTAAGGCAAGCTGATGGAAGACTTGTTGATACTACAGAATTGGGTAGATCTTAGCCTGTAGGCCGTGGGAAATTTCTCAGCATACTTCTGGCTGCAAATAATAGGTGACCTAACAGTGACTAAAACAATAGGAACCAGAGTTGATGGAGTGTTCAGTGATAGCATCAGGATCCCACTGGTTGTCCCTCTTCCGGCTCTTCGCAGTGTTTTGTTCATGTCTCCTTTCATGGTTGACTAATTAGCAGCAGTTCCAAACATCCTGTTCTTACGAGACAATATCTACAGACTGGAAGGGCAGCTTTGCTTCACAAGATTGATGTAGACAGGGAGAAAACTCAGGAGCTTGCAGTGGATTCCCATAACATTTTATTGGCTGGGTTACACCCCATGCTCATTTCTAAACCAGTCACTGGGAACACATTTAATTACCATGATGGACTTAGAATAATCATTTCTCTTTTTGGAGCTGGGAGGGGCATTAAGATGATAAAAATTCCAAGAGAATTATGTGTCTCCAGCAAGAAAGATTCAGGATGGCCATTGGCTGGGAGCCAGCAAAGTTTGCTGTGGGGATTCACTGGAGAATTTTGAGCAGGAGAGTCACAAGATTAGAGATGAGTATGAGGGCATTCTGGTCTAAAGCAGGGATGGGCAAGCTTTTTCTGTAAAGGGCCAGGTAGTATATCTTTTAGGCCAGGTGGTCTCAGTCATGTCTACTCAACCCTGTCATTGTACTGTGAAAGCAGTCATAGATAAGAGGTAAGCAAATAGGCATGACTGTGCTCCAATAAAACTTGATTTAAATAACCATATGGCAGGCTCCCACCCAATGGCCATCCTGATTCTTTCTTGCTGGAGACACATAATTCTCTTTGAAGAAGAGAAAATTGGTGCATATCAAATTTTGATAAATCCCCTTCCTCCTTGCACTTGATCAATACCAAGGAAGGGAGGTAACAGTTCTTAATGCATTAATTGCCTACCAATAGTATATTTCATATTAATTCTAGTATAGTGGCCTGGCATGGTCCCAAAGGAATACTTTGTCACAAAACATCAGAGTTTTATGCTTATTTTTATTTAACAAGGTCTAAAGAATGTACAAAACTGTGCATTCTTTCTTTCTCTTTTTGTGTGAAGGTGGAGTCTCTGTATGTTATTCACACTAGTCTCAAACTCCTGGGCTCTTTAGGGGATCCTCCCACCTCAACCTCCTGAGGAGCTTAGCATTAAAAGAATTTTGGAAGCATCTGTAGAGCAGATCAGAATGTAGTATTGTCTACTTCCACCCCAAGTTACAGAGGGTTGGCTTAGAGCCCCTTGAGTACTAGGGTCTGGAGGTTCCTGAATGACATAGATGTGTGTTCCAGGTCTGGTGTCTCCTCTGTCGCTTCTCCTAATTCACTGATGTCCTTCCCGTGTACATGTAGGGAAGTCAGGGGTAGGAATGGCTGGGAAATCACTCATGGAGCTTCAGTTGGGTAGTTTGTAACATGCCTGGGCTGGGAAAGGGTAACTGCGAGTCCCTTTAACTTGTTTTCTAGGAGCAGGGTAATAGAGATCGCCTGCTCTTGGTCATTTGGGCCCATCCTTTCAGGAATCTGTGCTGTCTTAGGCTGAATGTTTAGAGGTTGGAGACTGTCATGGAGCCCTGTGGAGGAGGGATCTGGAAGTGGGAGCCCATAAGAAGGAAGATGTTTAGATAGTACTTTGGGAAATAGAAGTACAACTACCAGGACTGTGTTTTTCCAGGAGTCTCTCTGCTTGGGTATCTGAGTGCCTCTGGCGATTTTTAAGGCTTTGCTGGTTTATGTGGACCTGAATAAGGCAGGACCTATGTAGGGAAAATAATTGGAGTTTATAATTTTTGATGTTTTACTCTTTCTGGGAAGAGTATTCCCAATAACAACATATGCATTTATTCTTTTTGTCCTTTTTTAAAATAGTGATTGTCAGTATGTATGCATTTGTTCTTTGAATTTTGTACATTTAACTTCCAGACATTTCAAATGTTTTGGTGTACTCCTTGTACTGTTTGAGGGTAAAGTGAAGCAGTGGGGACTTCAGAAAGGGTTTCCATGCTGAAGGTCCAAGACTGCCAATCTTGAGTGATACAGATTAGTCTGTGAACCAGAGGTAGATAATGAGAAGGGGTGGTGTATCTTTCTACCTTGTTTCAGGTTATCAGGTTTGTTCCAGTTCAGGTAACACGAGTTATGTCAGCCATTAACTGCACAATTTGTGT